TAACGTCAATGTCAGTCGATTGGTCGTCAGCAACAGGCAACTTCAAAGTGGAAGATACATTAGTGATGTGGATTACTGCAGTTAATTTGTTCTATCAAGGACGTACCATTGCAAAAGAAAGTGACAATTCAAGTGATAATTAGTGCATCAGTGAGTAAATATTCGTGAGGTAGTAGATGGTAAATCGGTAGGCTACCTACGGACCGTAGGCACACTGCAATGGAGACACGGGTGTCATTTCTCTTGTCAGTTTCTTTAAATTTAAATGAGACAACTGTCACCAGCAGAAGAACTACCAAACGGGCGAACCAGCATGTATGCGCATACGTTTACGCAAACGTATTATTTGTCCCACTTGCCGCACAGTAAGAACTTCCCATTGCAACACCTTGAGCCTTGCCAATACGTGATGGGCCTATAATTACGCGCCATGAAGCGTTGTTCGTGTTCTGTTTTCTGTCTGTCACGCTTCGGCTATTGAATATTTCCAACACGCATGCACGTGTTATGATGACATCACCTCCGTTCTTGAAATAACGTTGCTATTGTCTTCAATATCAGCAGTTTCCTCCCTTCTGACTCGAAGCAAATCTATAGTGTTACCCCGGATGACCTCCCTGCATGCCTCTCTACGCATTTTTCGGAATAATGGCTCAAAATCACGTACTGTTGCTGTATTTTTGCTCATTGTTAACGTAAGCGGAGTGATGATTGCTTGCAATTAGTACTTGTGCGGAGCAAATGCCGTTAAAAGTTTAAATCTTTTTTTCGTGTGCTTGCATTCTTATTCAGCTTGCATTCACTGACAGTGTGAGCGTCAGGCATTTTCGTGTGTGCATTTGTAAATTCCGATTAATGGCTCTTAAGAAAGCTGTCAGCAAGCCATGAATAGCTTTTCTTTGCAAGTTTTGGCATAAACTACTGGACATGCTCACATAAAACACAGCTGTGCTCTACGACACGTGTATTCTGCCGCAAAGTTTGCAAACTACATTTGCTCTGTGTATAGTGCCATATCCTGTGACGTCCGTGATTTACAAAGTAGTTTACATATAGACACGTGTAGCCGCCATAACGCTGATGGCTTGTAGAGTAAACCAAATTTATGTTAAGTACAGGGATTCATTTAATGGTTCAAATGTAGGAAAGAGAATTCGGTCATGCTTGCATGTAATCATACGAAACAAAATAACGACTGGAAGCCGCGTATTTTGCTTAAATGCCTCCCAGAAGCGCAACTCTGGATTGGCAGACGGTGGTCGCAATACTAACGCACCACTTATGGATCCTTCAGACGCATTGCTTGCCTTGCAATCACACACATAAGCTGCTAGCAGGCATACAAGTTTGAATGAATCTAAAGAAATTACTTTCGACGCCTGTCTCGGGATAAATAATCGTGACGTCGTGGCGTTGTTTCTAAAATTAAGACAACCAGCCGTAAGCTAGCCGAGTGAAATTAATTCCGGTGTGCCCTTTACCATGCCTACGTCAAAGAGGTGTAATGAATTGTCTCTCAAAACAATTACATTCATGCGCTGTTGAATATACTGTCAAGACGTCTTGTCGATGTGAATGTGCCCGACTGCAGCGCATGACTAAAACTAAGCCCTATTATGACCGTTGCATTGCTGCGAGGCCACTGTTGACACCTGTACAGCACTCTGACGTTTACTCCCGTAGCAAGTGCTTAAAGGTCATTTGCGTCTTACCTCGCAGCAACGCAGCTAATTATTTTTAACTACTTTTTTTCCCTGCAAACGTTTCTGGATGTATTAAACTCCTCTCGAAACACACAAATGTGCGATCCAGGAACACCACATCATTAGATATCACTTCATCCAGGCTCTGGAGGGATTTAGAGATGCAGTATTATACAAAAAAAAGCACGAAGGTTCTTTCCTTTCAGTAAGGTCGAAGAAGCTTTATGATATAGTAGTTGACTGCAAATATAGTAGTTGACTGCTACGTCACTGGAATAGAGTAATATGTGACTGTTAGTCTGTATGCGTATTGTTAATGGAGGTGATTTACAAGCTGGTGATAGAGATAGCCACCCTGTCAAGAGCAATGATTCATTCTCGCTAATCAAGTAGAAGTAATAGGAGTCTGTCCAACCAATTGGTTAACAAGGAGGAAAGTGATCCGAAAAGGGATCGTTGGAACACGTGTCCCCGCAACCGCAGCGAGCGCGCAGTTGTACAACCTGCTATACGGCCCCCTTACGCGTCTTCTGCGCGCGGTCTGGCATCCTCCAGCGTGTTGCCTCTTTCTGGTTGTTCCAAGCTATGTTTTTGTTTTCAATTACGTCTGTTGGTTTCGCTGTCACGAGTGTGTTTATGCCTGACTGGGCCCGGTTCCCGCTCGCCCGCTGCCGCATCTTTTTTCGCAACCGGGAGAGAGGTTTTCGAGCGACACTTTACGGCAGACGCCGAGTCGTCGCCCGTGCATCGAAACCGGTTCGCTGCTGTTATCAGAGGGCGAGAGCGTGGAGGATGCTGCGCGCCGAATCGCTGCCTCCGCCGTCAGAGCAGCCCTCCGGTTCGACGCGTGTGTCTCGGTGTGCCGCGTCGTTTGCTCTCGTCCACGGCTGCGCACTCGGCGCGTTTCCTCGTGCTGTTGACGGAAGGTGCGCCGCGCTCGGATCGTGACGCCGGGTGAAACGCCTGCTGCCAGGAGTGGCTGCCAGCACGATCACACTTCGCTTTCCGTCGTTACCCGTCTGTTTATGCGTACCTCTGCAGAAGTTGCCGAGTTCTGTCGCTACGCTGCTGCAAGGTAGCCTGCCCCGTGGCTCCGTCGGTGACATTGGGAGTGCGCTCAACCCCGTGATATACCGGTGCATATCTGAAAGGCACCCTTGCCTTTCATTTGCAGAGTATTGATGTTGCAAGAGATGAGCCGCGACGCCGAGATGAACAACCAGAACACCCAGAAGACGGAAACGAACACGTCGCGGTCCGCCAGGGTTACGGCGACGGTGAAAGTCGAACCGGTGGCTGTGGGAGAAGGACTTAGGCTCAACCCGTACTACTTCAAAACTGTCCCGGGAATCCTAAAGCTGATTCAAGTGGTGAGTCGCTCGTAGCTGTGCTGATTAATTATATATATATATATATATATATATATATATATATATATATATATATATATATAGATATATATATATAATTATATATATATATATATATATATATATATATATATATATTCGTTTAAATTGACCGTATTTGTCAGTCCCTTGACAGCGTCTTGGCCTAACTAGCATTTCCCGATATATTGGGAGGTGATATTTTTTATATCCGTGAAAAATATTCGCCGGACTAATATGTTGCCGTGGCGAACACTTTTCACTGATTACGCCTTGCTCTTTAACTCATGATGCGGCATCGAGCAGCAGTTTGCCGTTTCTCAGGAACTTTGCCACTATTCCTGATATCGACCGTTACATTATCATGGCATAAAACTGAACTCAAGGGAAGTGTTTCATTTTGTTTCAAACTTACCGATTCTTCTACGTTTTGTGCAGCACACACTGCTCTGCCAAGTGTTCGATTGAGGGGAGAGTTTGCGACGTGTAAGTTGCGTAGCGTGTGTGTCCTGTAAAATGGTTTCGTATTGCGACGAGTGAAGGCTGGACTGCGCACGGCGGCGATTGTGTGTGCATGCGTACTTGTTTGGGCTAGGACAGTCTTGCAGCTGTACTTGTTCACACAACGTTGACCTCTATTTCACGCTGTTTTTCGTAAGCTCTCATGAAATACACCGAAGCAATCTCAGCACGCGTCGTTTTAACACTCAAATTCTGTAGGCGCGTGTGAATTCTAATGTAAGCATCCGATCCGTTTATTCAATGGTAGTCATTTGGTAACAAGTTGAGGCACCTTGCTTAAAGAAAACAAGAACAGGTGGAAGGACAGACGAATGCCCACGTGCACGAAGTCGTGGTATGTTATTTTCACCGCTAAATACTTTTGTTGCGTAATGTTTTCATTTATATTGGTTACGACCATTAGTCCCTTCTACATTAGGAATTTGTTTATGTTTGTTTGTTTGCTTTCAGTACTTCTCTTAATACACTAATCGCCCTTGCCCCGCCGCTGTTGTGCCTCCACGCACACACACCTCTAAGGCCCAAGCACATTCATATCACCAGTCCATCTAGCTAATTGTTGATATGTCCTCTTTTACTGCAACATATATTATCGCGCTGAGCGCTAAATGAGGAGTATAGAAGAGTATAGGAAAAGAAACGGAAAGGTGCGGTGCCATGAGGAGTACACGTATACTCTTTATATGCCATGCTCCATCGTGGGGACAGTCTGTTGGATGCTCTCCTGGACATTCATCCATGGCCGGTCAAAAGCAACATTAATAAATCGCTCGGTTTTCTAGCTTATTGGCATTACCCGGAGGCTGTTATTGTGCATTTCCCCGCTACGCGGGTTCTGCCTTTTCATTCGTATTGGCCGCCACGCGAAGCCTGCAGGTAGTCGTCCGATGGACAACATTCGTCAACACATTGGAGAGTACCGAACTAATCGGCGTTCGGTATCGCTCCGAGCAGAAGAAACGGTTAGAGACATATGGTCACGAATAAGGCCTATATATGGAGTGCTTGAGAAGAATGAAAAGCTGGGCCAGTAGGTTCATCCCGTTTGGTGTATGGTTCAAGAAAAGCCAGCGAAAATCCAAAAGCGAGGACAAAGAAGGCGCGCTTACACTGTCGCCGCCACAGTGGTGTGCGAGTGTGGCTTCTTGTTTGGCCTTGTCTTGTGTTCTCGCTCGCATCTCATGTACACACACCGTTCTGTCAGCGAGATTCTGCGTTTTCATATAGAAGCACCACGGCTCTAAAAATGTGTTTATAGCACATGTAGTGAAGTTCATCCGGTTTCCCGTAACGTGTTTCCGGAATTTTAACTTGTGAAGGCAAGCCTCAGTGGGGTGAATCAATAGCGCTTCATATTTTAAAGACTGATTAAAATAAATGAAGCTTTAGATAAATGTGTCGACCCGCGAGCGTTATTACAAACTCTGATTTCATGTTGAAATCTCTGTACGGGAACGCGCAGTAGAAATGTCCAGTTGCCCCGCCGCGGTGCTCTAGTGGCTAAGGTACTCGGCTGCTGACCCGCAGGTCGCGGGTTCTATTCCCGGCTGCGGCGGCTGCATTTCCGATGGAGGCGGAAATGCTGTAGGCCCGTGTGCTCAGATTTGGGTGCACGTTAAAGAACCCCAGGTGGTCGAAATTTACGGAGCCCTCCACTACGGCGTCTCTCATAATCAAATGGTGGTTTTGGGACGTTAAACCCCACAAATCAATCAGAAATGTTTAGTGAATTTTTATGGGGAGGGAAAGCTGGGAATGTTTAATGGAACCTTTTCGCACGTGGCAGACTATTTCATATGAAAAAAGTTATCAAAAGAAAAGCGCGTTGAGTGATCTGAAACTTGTAAAATATATATTAGCAAAGCATTAAAGACACAACCTTTTGAGCGGGCATCGAATAACATCTTTGAGTGCTACTCTCGTTCGCAACGGTGCAAGGCTTTTCACGCCGGCGTCGCTGGAGCATGTGCGTATAACGGCTGAAAGTAATGTGCCCCTCGGTGGCACAGAATTTACTAAACTGGTTTGTTCTTCTTGCCGATGTCTCCTTGTTCGCGTCTCATCTCCTCTTCGTTTCAAGGCGGACGAGCTGCGCAACTCTCATACGTGTGCGAGGCTTCTTTGCGGGAAGAGCCAACACCAGTCTAGGTGGTGTTGGAAGAGCTCGGAGGTAAGCCTGCCTGCCATCCACAACAAGTGCTCGCCGCCACCTCCCCCGCGTTCCCCGTGGGGCACTGTATAGCGGTGCTCGTTGATTCCGTCCGCGCCGCATGCACGACGCGGAATCGACAATGAGCATGCAGTGGTCGGTGATTGTCGCCGCGAATTACGGAATATTCCGCGTCCGTCTCGCATCCCAAAACGCCCATCGGTTCTATGCGCGCGTCATTCGACTCCGTGCAGCGGTGTAGTGCAAGTGGCACATAAAAACGAATCGAAATGCTTTATGTTGAGCGAGCAACGATGCGGCACAGTTCAAGTCCCAAGCTTCGAAAAGAATTGACGAGTGCAGTGAAAATGTGAGCACGCTAATTGCCCTGCTCTTCTTTCATCTTGTTTGTTTTTTTTTTCGTCCTTTCTCACACATACACGGAACAGGATAAGGTTCATTCATTTATGCAAGAGCTTTCTCATTTGGCGCTCTCCATGTTGCGTTTTGTCTCTCCACAATAGGCCTTGAAGGCGAGCATTAATGGTATGCTGCATGGTCGTGGGTCAATCTTGGCTTTGTACAAGAAACTACAAGTTGACTTTTTGACGTCTCGTAGGAAGTACTTATCTATCTATCTATCTATCTATCTATCTATCTATCTATCTATCTATCTATCTATCTATCTATCTATCTATCTATCTGTAATACACACACGCAAATACCGATTGCGCGTAATATATGAACACCACACAGCCTATCCCGCCAGAGAACCGTGTGATGATGCAGCTTTTACCATACAGGTACGACGTTTTAACTCTCGAAAACGCAGATGTCTCTTTGATGTCACATTTCATGCATTGCGTCCCTGGAAATTAACTACGCCAATATGACAGCCAACCCTCGTTGCCGGTATGCGGCACACAAGGACTGAAGTACACACGCATATATACGTCCCACGTATCCGACATACGTGCAATGTGTCTTATTTGTTTGTTATTTACCTTCAACTTTGTGTCCATGGGAAGAGTGTGCGCAAATAATGTCCTATAGAAAATTAAAAAAAAGATAACTTCACCGCACTGTTTAAACAACAAAGCATGGGCCTCACAACACATGCCACGAAGTTATCATTTGGCTTGACGCCAGCACTCGCGCGATGCTGCATTATGGCGCTTCATTGTCTCTGGGATATAGCGACTTCGTATATCACTTTCTAAATATACACGTTGACCAAACACACGCACGCGCGCATGCACACAGAGGCAGGGACAGTTGCGGTGGGCTGACGGCGACTGGCTTCACAATGGATTGCTTTCGCAAAATAAGAAAAAAAAAAAAAGCACGACCAGTTGGAAACCTGATGCGCATAGAGCAGAAAAGCCGACAAAAGAATTTCAATTTGTAGCGACAGATGGGGGAGAACCGCTGTGTGTCCTCGTGATAGGGCATGATTGGTCCAAGGGAGTGGATAAAGTCAAACAGCCGGTAAATGTTGTTGCTGCTATAATTATTAAAATAGTATTACAACGCGAGGCATTTTCAATGCCGCCTTATAAAGGCCAGGCGCAGCTGCGTAACAAAGCTGCAGTTGTGTATGTATATTTTTCCCTCCACGCTTAAAAACACGAAGCGTTTAAGGTACATACCTGCTCGTGCCTTGGAGCAAGTATACCTTTCCAACAGTTTTTTGCTTCTCTAGCCAGAGAGACCGAGGTATTCAGGGCCACGTTCCAACGCGAGAACAGCGCTCAATGTGATTTTTTGTCAAAACAAAGCCAGAGAGGGAGGTAAAGCTCGTTCGTCATTGCTTGTATATATATACTCATCGCGCACTGTTTTAAACGTGTCGTTTTTCATGCAAAAGAACAGCATTGAAAAGTAAGTGAGAACAGTAAAAAAAAAAAAAAAACTGAAACCCCCTAACGACGAAGCTGTCAGAAGATCGAACACCCAAGAACTTTAAATAAGAATTCCCTGCTGATGTGAGTACGTGGTGTGGCGTAAGATCGATATTGTGGGTCTTCGTAAACTCCCCGAAAACTCCAGCTTGAAGGGAAGTAATAACTGTGTCACAGGGCGTAGGGTTAGGGAGCAGCGCTCTAACGCAGGACACGAGAGAGCACAATAGAGACAACCACTTGGCGCTAAGTATCTCGTGAAAGTGTGCGAAGTAAGGGAAACAGAAAACACGAAACGTAATTACCGTACTTTTTTTTTTGTCTTCTGTACGTGTACAGCGAAGAAAAGGTAGTAGTACCAATTTTTTTTTTCTGCGCACTTTCTCAAAAGAAGAAATAAGTCAAAGAAA